GGGAGGTGTGGTTTGGAGGTGTGGCTGGTTGGTGGGGTGGTTTGTCGGGATGAGGGAGAAGGGGGGGTCTTAAAAATCATTTTACAAATGGGTAAATTTGTCTTTAAATTTTAAAGATAAGTTGGGTGAGGAAATAGAATAAGGGGTTGAAAATAGCAGCCCTATAAAAGAGTGAAAACACCAAGCTACATAAAATAGTCCAAGTTATATTACATAAATGACAAGTTTGACCTTTTTTATCCACGTCAATTTGCCAAAGTAATTTTTTTTTTTTATTTAAAAAAAGCCAATGGAGTCTAGCCTAATGGAGAAGAACTTTGATGAGTGATCTCAGGTTTGAACACCAATGACAATGTAGTGTGTGTGAGAAACCCACATTCTCTTGTAATGTAATCTATCACTTATATTAAAATAAATAAATATATTTAACAAATGATTAGAAAAAATTTGCCCTCACATTATGGAGGAAAAAAAATTAATGAACAAGTTATTTGATTTCGGCTTCTTGGGCTTTGAACTGGACTTTTTTTTGTTAGTAACCCAAAGAATGGCTCCTTAAGGGGCCCAGAGGAAAAATAACCAGGGCAAAACTCAGCATAAGCGAAGATTGTTTTGTCTGTAGACTCTGCAGCAATTCTCTTTGGAGGGATTGCCAATTTCGTTCAAAAGTAACTGGTTGCAATAGCATCCTTCCACAAGAGCCACATTGATGACGAAGTTCAGGAAGCTCAACCGACCCACGGGTCACCGCATGTCCATGCTCAGGTTCCTAATTTGTTTTCAGTTTTGGTTAGCTCAGCTTTAGCTTTCCATGCCCGAAAGGTTTTTTAAAATTTATTTATTTTCAAAGTAGAAAAAAAAAAATTATTCTGATTGTCATCTGTAGGACGATGGTGTCACAGTTGGTGAAGCACGAGCGGATTGAAACCACTGTTGCCAAGGTACCTCTTCTATTTCTCTTCTTTTTTTAACGTTTTCGGAATTTTCATATGTTTACAATTTTAGGGTTTTTCTTAGTTTAGGGTTAATTAATGATTGAAATAATTTGGCTTTTGTGACCAGCAAGTTAAAAGGAAAAAAAAGAATGTTCAGCATAAGCTCTGGAATTTCGGGAAATTTAAATATAATTGGGATAAATGTGCAAAATGAATTTTATGTTCAAATGTTTTGTTTTGTTTTCTTTATTTTTCAGGCCAAAGAGATTCGACGTAAAGCTGATAAAATGGTGCAGCTTGGAAAAGATGTATGTATTGGTTCTGGCACAATTATGTTTAAAATTACATTTACAAATAGTTTCTTACCAGTTTCTACATTTTTATAATTAATAATCTTCATCATAAAATGAAATTTTCTGTTTCAATTAACATATAGGCCTACAGCAGTTGAAGAGAATTTGAAAGTTAGTATTTCAATTAACATATAGGCTTACTTTCACTTTCAATTAAAGAAATCAATGTCTGACATAACCCAGCTTCTAAGAAGTATGTGTTTGAGTAACCCCTAGTTGCAAAGTTTGCTCTTCCTGTGAGTTGTGACTTGTTATTTTAATCCGACAGAAATTGAGTTTGATCTTAGATAGCCCACCATGAGACTACAATATGAGGTGCATGCATTAGAGCGAGCTTGACTTGCATCGGTTATGCTTTATGTTGTCCTGGCTCAAGGGATTAAGTTTTGGAATTTTTGAAGTTACATAAACCTGTGTAACTTTTGTATTTAGGTCAAATCACTTCTCTAATGAAAACCGGCCTAGTTATTTGAATGAAAAAGACTTGTGCGGCCTGCTGTTTGGAAAATTAATTAGAACAGAGCCTCTAACAGGCTCTCTCTACAGAGTCTTCAAGAAAGATGATAGTTAGTCGACAAGAGTAATTTAAACTCCACATATGAGTACCCGATAAATCATGTCCCGGAGGATCCATAAGTTCAGCTGCTCTGTTAGTTTCATGATAAAAATGATTTAGGTGAAACTCTTCTCTGTTAACCAGATTTGGTCGTTTGATAGATTGCTTTGACCTTCATGAGTAAATGTTTCAATCTACCTTTTATCTAAAATGACTTTAGAAGGTATTGACCAAAGTTCTCACACTAGATTTGGGTATAAGAATCTGAAGTATGTATTGAACACACTTAAATGGTACACTAGTTTTCCAATTGCAAAGTTCTGGAATTATCTTACACCTTCATGAGTAAATGTTTCAATCTACCTTTTATCTAAAATGACTTTAGAAGGTATTGACCAAAGTTCTCACACTAGATTTGGGTATAAGAATCTGAAGTATGTATTGAACACACTTAAATGGTACACTAGTTTTCCAATTGCAAAGTTCTGGAATTATCTTACCATATAGATTCACTTAATTGGGTTTTTTTTTTCCCTTCTAGCATGATTCTATCCTCTTTCAAAACTGTCACAGGGTTCCCTT